CGGGCGATGCCATTTTTTTTATAACTTTGTCTAAGAGATGAGCAGACAAATTTGGTGTTTTTCAGTTCGAGTCAAGTCCAAGTCCAGTAGAGGCTAAGTCCGAATCAGTTCCAGTCCGCTTTTCAGCTAAAACCTTTCAGTCCTAGTCCGCTAAGCTTTAAGTCTATGTCAGTCCCGGCATACATTGTTTCCTATTTTCATTCTTTTCCTTCTGTTTTTGCATCGGAAAGACAATGTTCCTTTACATGGCTATATCCTAGTGAATGTACTTGAACATAGGTACCCATGTTAGATACCCTGCTTCAAGAATGCCATAGTTGCTTGCAAATAAAATATTACTTAGCGGGTACCTAAATGGCCAGCCGTTTTAGGTGACCGTGTGAAGATAAAAACGCATGTCATTCTTATAAGCATATATTTTTCTTTTATACATGTTTGAACGCAAAACAAAACGGTGGATGAAAAGAACTTGGTATCTATGCTGCTAATTAAGTAATTGGGTATCTCTGAAGTAATATTTACTTGAAAAAAATTCAAGCGCCTATGACATTCATGTAGCATATAAGAAGAATGTAAGTAAAATAAAAAAAGATCTTGGTAGATCGGTCCCTGTCTCGCGATTTCATAATGATTCATACTCAAACCTGATCGTCCTTTGTCATTATCTATTTTAATTATCTGCTGTGCGCGTATGAGTCATAAGATAAATAGATTTCAAAACATACGGAAAAAAATATGCTATTTCCAAAATAGCTCAACAAATACAGATCAGTTAAATTTTTGTCGGCTGAAAGGGCACATCTACACAATATACTGAACATAAAGTATAAAGGAACCATCTTGATCAGATATACCATTGATAGAGAAGTATGCGTGACAAAGCTTATTAAAATTTATCTTGGCTCGTTTATAAAAGATCACCTATACTAATAGCTTAACGTCTGTCGACAGGGTAAAAAGGAGAAAAATGTAAGTACTCGGATACCTATCGTCAAGTACATTCACTAGACTAGTAACAAAAAACGAAAACAACAAAACTTTTTGTAATGTTAAAAAACAAGAATAAGATTGGACCTTTCGTTTCCTTTTGTTATACGAAAATGAAAAGAAAAGCCTAATTCATAACAGAAAAGTTACATTTGAGTAAAGTAAGACGTGGGAGGATTTTTCTCGTCATTTTTGACCGTATAAGAAAACTGGATTGAGAGAACACTCTCAACCGGAGCCGAAGTGCTGGGTACGCATAGTATCTTTGTTGCTAGCGTGCTCAACATAGGGTACAAAGAAGATTTATTGAAAATTAAACTACTATCTGTATCTTCTTCTTTTAACTAATGCAAAATTTCCTCAGCAATATCATTGTCCGGTGTTGCTATAGAAATCTCTTGATTTTTTAGGCAGACGGGCGTTTTTCAGTGCAAAGAAATGAATCAGCAAAACAGAAAAAGACAGCCGTCTTTTGATCACAACTGATCTTACCCGATCACGCAGTAACATCGAAGAGATAAAAGAGTGAACAGATTTGAACTCAAAAGTTCAGTCACAACTGTGAAAAAAAATCAGTTCCAGTCTGTGCTAAAAAGCTTATCAGTCCGGACTTGGACTTGCCTATCTCTGCTTTGCCTTTCGAATTATGTTATGTCTGTACCGATTCTGAACTCTATTGTCTCGTATAGTTTTCTTCTGTTATTTGCGTGTTATTTATTGTTACTGTTGGACGTCAATACGTCGCTGGTATCGAACGTCAGTTGATGATATCTGGAATTCATTTGAACAACTTTATGGATTTACTTCTCGGTCTTACAAATGAGTAGTTTACACATTGATACTCTCTATAGATAAGGTATCAGACAATCACCTGTCTCGTGCTTGTTATAAGCAGATCATCCAGGGTTTCTTGCTAAAAAATGAGCAGTCAAGGGACTAGTGCGTCAGTATGACAAACGTAACTGTGTGATAAACAAATCGTTTATGGATTTAATTGTATTAGCACTAAAAATTAATACTAAAAGATGAGAAAACAAATAGTTTGTTGGTTTGTATTTAAGACGTCGCCTTTACCGAAGCTACAATACAAATCTTTCAAAAAAATTTCTCAATAAGTAGAGTTGTTCATACAAGAACATTAATACGAGATTCGTAAAAAAAATGGTATTTAATTTCAGTTTATCAATTTTACCACTTCATTATGTTAAACAACAAGAATTGAAATGTAAAAGGTAAAGTTTTCTACGACAAAATAATGTCGTCTAGCAAAATCAATGAACAGTGGGAATTGCATTGGCCCATTAGTTATGTACCTGATGGTAACTGTAATTCGTGCTGGTAATCAGTATCAGTAACAAACTTTTAAATGAGATATTTGTTTTAAACATAGAGATTGTCTAAGTCCAGAGAACAATATTTATGCATTTTACTGTATGACAAACTTGATTAACGGATATTTTCTGAGACATAGTAATAGAATTAAAACGCTTTTGAAATCATTAAATATAAACACAAATGTAGGTAAACGTTTTGAGATGGTTACAAATTGTATAGACTATCAAAATTTTCCAAAGTGATGTTTTAGCTGACCTTGTCGAAAATTTTAGATTTATTTTAAATAGAACTAGAATTTGATAATTTTCAGATGTCTATCTTTTTCGATATAAATAAAAAAAAAGTTTCTATAAATAAAAATAATATAATACGACAAAAATAGATTTATATATAATCAACGATAATCTCAAATACTAAAACGTCATATAAAATCCTCAATTACAAGAAAAAAAGCCCAAAGCATAAAAACACTGATGCCTATTTAAAACGGAGCAAAATATTAAGGATGAATAACAATAACAAATATTTAACATCCGTATGAGATTATTTCGTTCCAATTTTTCTATAAAATACTATTCAAGAATATCCAAACGATTTAGCCAGTTGTAAATCTTGATCTAATCGATAACGTTTCAATGATTTTTTTTGTCGTCTTCGCAGCCTTCGAGCTTCTAAACGAAGTTGACGTTTTTCTTCCAGTGACTGTTCGTATTTTTGACGTAACCACCTGTATGAGAGACAACATAAATAAAACAATAATTTTTTTGATAATGGATACAGCGGTATTGATTATAATTTCGTGCTTTTTACACAAAAAAATTTTCATTACTCAAAATGTTCCTATACTTTACCAGCTGAGTTTTGTAGAGCAAATGTTTTTTAAATTTCATCTTGATTCGAGATACTCAGATAAAAATGTTTACTAAACGCTTTACGAACAATGCTGGTAACGTTTCATACTAGATTATGATTCTTCAGCAATTCAGCAGAAGAAAGAAATAAGATAAAGAATCCTGTCATATTTCATTTTATGGAAAAATGTGTCGTCTATAAAACTGAGCCATCAAAAACCTTGTTATGTAGTACTTTTTTGTTGAATCTGATTGATAAGAAGAGTAAAATATACCGGTAAATACTGTTCAATTTTTAGTTAAAACTGAAATTTAAGTAGAAACATGTTTATTACCTGTGAAATGCACGGTGTCCAGTTCCTGTCTTTCGCAAATCTTCCAGTTCTTCCTCTTCTCGTAATTTTTTTAGTTCATTTTCACTCAATGTTTGCTGTCTCTTTCTTTCCTCCCATTTTTTGCGATTTATCGCTATCTTCTCCTCTTTTTCTGCATCTTCTTTTGATTTTTGAGCCTAAAATCAATGTATCGAAGTTAGAGTAATTAATATTAATTGAATAGAAGTGATGAAACATTTACTTGTTCTTCTTGTAGTTTTTTACGACGTTCTTCTTCTAATCGTTTCTTTTCTGTATCTTTATCTTTTGACCATCGCTCAAACGATTGTTTCGCTTTTAAACGGTCTTTTTCTCGTTTTTCTTCTGCCTAAAATAAGATTGAGTGGTAATCGATAATTCACTCCCCGTAATGACAAAGTATTCCTTTATTCTGGAAGTAAATTGTTTTGTCAAAATTTTTTTAATACTTTTTTTGCTTATCGATTTTAAATACATTTTGTTTTTACAATCACTTTTTGTTACAGAACAGCTCAAGCCTTGAAAACTTGAACTGACCGTTACTACGTGCACAGTCCTCAAGACTGCTCTTCTTCCTCTCAACACAGTTGAAAATATATACGTCAGACGTTACCAAAATAATTCTTCAGTGGCGGTCACCTGTCCACTTACTAATCATCGTCCTAACACTTAACCAGAGAAAAGACAAACTCATTGTGGAGCATGATGAACTGCGTCGATTGACGTTTGAACGAACTTTCTAATTGCTTTACTTTCCGAGATAACCGAAGTTTAGTGCGTCAAAAACGTAACGCCGTGACGTTTGGACAAGCCGCTCAAAAAGTTTAATCTAAGACGATTGCTTCTACACAATCAGACATACTACTAAAGGTTTAGGACTTCCTCGAAAATTTATGTCTTCCCTTACTATGGGCATACATGAATGCATTCATATTTGTTAAAATTCAATGCATTTTTAAGTTTTAAGTTTAATGCGTTTGAATGCATTAAAAATTTTTAAGGCGTTAAAATGCAAAAATCTCGTTAACGCATTAAAAACACATTTGGATCGATTTAATTTTAAAATCGAATTTTTCGATTTAAATTTTAAAAACTCCCCATTTAGATTTTTCTCAAACGCTCCCACTTTGTAGCGAATACTTCGAGCCATATGTTCTGAAGTTTTCTCAGCTTACTTACATTATTTAGCTGAGAATAAAATTAATTACTTAAAAAATATTGTTAAATTTTTGCGCATGGTGCTATTATTAAAAATTTTCCTATCCATTCTCCATTCATGATAAAAACTTGGTTCTTGCCTCGATCAATAGAAAAATGTGTGGGGAATGTTTACTACAAGAAAATATGTAAAAATTTGTGTTCTTTTCATCGTGTGATTGACTAATTAGTACTAATTAACGTTAATTTAGCCTACTGTACTAGCTTAAAGTCCCATGTATAAAATAATGACAAAGAAAAATTTCAAACAGTAACGCATCTGATAGCGAATTTCACGAGCCACAAGATGGACTACCTTAAAAATTTTAGAATTCGTTTTTGGACACTCGCTGAGTCTGATAAGTCGAAAATTTAACAACATTTTTTTCCAGTAATTCATTTTTTTCTCAGCCAGATAATGTCAGTAAGCCGAAAAACTGCAGGACATATACTTCGAAGTATCGTCTACAAACTGGGAAAGCTTGCATATTGAAAATATCGCTGATTTTTGGCTCAACGAAGGTTTTTTCACCTCAGCTTACAGTCAGTTTCGCTCGAACCAAGCATTTTGAAGCGAAAGTCTGAATGCAAAAGTTGTTCAGAATCACATTTCCAAAGTCCCTCACGAGAGCTTTTTTAAAATTTTCTGTTTTTGATTTTTAAATTGAAAAATACGAAATTTTAAAATTTTAAGACTATAAAAGTTGCCTTTATTATGCTATGCGTATATCCAGAACGAACGTTTTGAGCCTTCAAGGGCAGCGCTAACAAGCTTTTTTCTGAAATTGGGATTAATTGTTAAAAATTAGCCGATTGCCGCAACATAGGGCATCTTTAACCTAAAGTAGAATTTTGAACTGTTAGTGTACTGCACGATTGTATCTGATGGAGTGATGTTATCATAATGTATCACTACTATACCATTGTTCGCTCAAATTTGAGCGGAAACTAGCCACTTCTGTCGTTCTGTGGAACTAGTTTCAGCTCAGATTTGAGCGAACAATGGTGTAGTAGTGATACATTATGATGACATAACTCCATCAGATACAATCGTGCAATAAACACTAGCAGTTCCATAGATTAATTCTTTGGCGTCAGGCATACCTCACGTTCTCTTCTTAATTCTTCTTTTTGCTGTTGTTTTTTCTTTTCAACGAAAACTCGATTTAATTCGGCGAAATTCACACCCGATGACGTTCTGAAAATCAATAAACACAGTTTGTATGTGACACGTGAATGACAGTTAATTACTTGTTCGGATATAAATTGTCCGTGGATTTAGTTATGTTAGCACTAAAAATTAACAATAGAAGATGAGAAAACAAATAGTTCGTTGGTTTTTATTTAAGACATCACCTTTTTGGTCTTGAACCAGGTTTAGATTCTGTAATAGTTCGATTTTTAGACGAAGTAATATCAGATGATTTCGGCCTCTTAATTGGTGATAGAGTGTGTATTCTTTTCGACTCGTTCTGATTGAGATTAGTGGTTGATTCTGTAGATTCAAATGACACTTTTGATGACGGAACTTTGACTTGTTTACTGTTCTGCGGTTGTTCTTCTTTAGTGAGATTTTTTTTGGCAAGATAATCATCTTCATTTTTAAGATCAAATACACCATTGATTGCTACTACCATTTGGTTGGAATTTGATTCATTATTCAATGTTGTTAATGTTTTCTTTGCTGATGAATCGGTTAGATCTTCAATTTCATCGTTTTCGTTTTCGTTTTCGTTTTTGGTGTTCGAGGGGACTGGAAAAAATCAATTCAAATTAGTTCAAAGCTATCAGAATAGTTCAAAAACAAAAAATCAATAAGAATACCAAATGTTTGTTGCGTCTCGTCTTTACTATTTCTTGGTGAAAATCTTTCTATTGGTAATGCTCCATGGAATTGCATAGCTTTCAGTTGTTGTAATAAACTAGGTCCACTTTTCGGTTGTGTATCATTCAATGGAACTGTATACAGATCGCTGTCAGTATTTTTATCTTCTTCTTGGTCTGTGACGCTAGATCCTTTCTGTACTTCATATCCATCCTCCTCTGCATCATCATGAACGATATCCACAGCTTTCACAACGGCATCAAATGAAACACGTTGTCGATGATTTAATTCGGCTGGTGTTTGATCATGTTCGAATTCAGCGTTTACTTTTTTTAAACGGTCTTTAATTACTGCTTCATAATCATAATTATGTTCAATACCGAAATGAAGATCATCTACAAAAAAAACAAACAAACAATGTTGTCATAAATATGAAGACGAAGAAGCAAACAAACTCTACCATCATCATCCATGTTTGTATCCATATCATTATACTCATTTCCATATATACCATATTGAAACGGAATTCGATCTAATTGGGACAAATCTTCGGCCGAATTTGATAACATATTTTGTTCACGAAGTCCGATATTAGCATATTGACGTTTCCATGTTAATAGATCCGCATCTGAATAGAGAGGAAAAATGTGTTTAAGTAGAATTTGTTAAAAATGCCGTATTACTAACCGTCAAGATGTTGTCCAGGTCGAGGTAGAGTGGATGTACCTTGTAATCTTCTAGTTTGAGCAGCAGAACTGTCAGAAAATGATGAATAATTATTTCGAAAGGGTGTACGATCATATGAGGAAAACTGGTTCGGGCGATCGACTGTTGTCGTCATACTCTATATATTAAAGGACATAGATTACATGCGCTTCAAAGTGCATCGTACGTAACTAAGGTGCATAAGGTAAATTGCATTGAATTAAAGGCCTAAATTAGGTGTATCTCAATGATTATATCCGCAACGTTTTTTTTCAGAGCGAGCAACTCATTTCTTATTGATATAAAGTATTATGAGATAATCCCCTTATAGGGCAAGTTAGAAAAAACGCTTAGAAAACTACTTCTGTGCAGCCATGATGGCAATAGTTGTTAATAGTAGGGTAGGAGTAGCCTCTACACATTATTAGTTATATACATCTTGTGATGCGTGAGAGTTCGTAAAATCATCGGAACTCCAGAATTTCTTAGAAAAGAAGTAAACCGTTGAATATATTTAAGACACTGATTTGTAGCGCCCTCACTAACGAAATGTTATACCTCTGCCGTAAAGTAAAATAGTTTGCCCTAGTGTTTCAATCCCCATAATAATCATATGCTTCGAAGACGAATGAGAATTTGGTTATTCGGCACATTCCATCCGTATTTATTTGATCTAACAACTAAACTAAAATCTTCTTAGTTTTGTTTCCAGGTTTTTTCAACAGAGTTCACCCATTTTCATTGTCTTTGGCAGTCCCAACTATCTACGCATTCACAGCTAGTAAAATATTATAGCATACTTATTGCCTGAGGTCAGGCAAGCGAGTGTGCTTCAATTCTGATATACTCCTTCCCTGCTTTGGCGACACTGAGACATCTATGGATACGAACTTTAGTTTTTGAATAACAGAATGTCTTCAACCGCAGGAGAAAAATTCATGAGCATATTGTATGTAGCTACGATCAATATTTGCATTAGATGGACATGTTTGCAAACAAAAACTTGTTCAAAAAACCTTTTAGAAAACTTTTTCTAGTTTACTCAGTTCAAAGTTAAGTTTTCAAAGTTAAGTTTTCAAAGTTAAGTTTTCTATTCGAAAAAAATAGAGCTCGAAAGTGCGATCCTCGAGTGAAAACATTTTCTCAGTAGTGCATAACATTTTATATAGATAGTTTATAAACTACAGATGCACGTTAAAATGAATATCACAATCTGGTTTCAGCTTAAATTGAGAAACTCGGTTCGAACCAGATAAGTTTGCTCGTTTTAGTAACTAGTTTGTATTTTATGCATGTCGTTTTCACATCCATCATTCATACATAAACAAAGAGCAGAAATATTACAATTACAAAAGAAAATCTACAGGTAGATGTGATACGCTCCAAGTCTTTCAGTCACATAAAACAAATTAATGATTTTTATTAATCAATTCTTAACCACTGAAAAGTTAACTTTAATTAAACAAAAATTCTAGTTTGAAAGATAAAGAATTTTGTCAAATGAGGAAAAGTGCCATTTATTTTAAAAAAACAATATAGATTTCTGAAATATAATAATAAGTTGTGCTTGCAAATTCAAACACTAATTTTTTCCTTGATGTTTCTTTTTAGATTTTATTTGACTGAAACCCAACCTGAAAACGTTTTTAGAAGTCAGTCGTCCAATCGACAATCTCAGAAATTCAATTCTCATCCAAGAAATTTAATTTGCTCCTAAAAATATAAAATCAGATTTCTTGATCCACGAAATAAGCAAAGAAATCTCCTTTCTTGAAGTATAAGAAGCGCAAGAAATTTAACTTCTTGCCCCAAGGAACGTGAATTTTGAAGAACGATAAAGAAAAACATGTTTTATGCGTTACAGTAGCCATCTGAAACAACTTAAACTTTGCAATAAAAAGTATTAACAGGCTAGAAGTTTCTTCAGGAAAGAAATTTAGCATATTAATTCAGAGACCGAGCAAAATGTTATAAAAACATCAATCTTGGATGCATTTCTGTTTTGAGATCTCTGCGTAGTAAACATTGATTGAGCCTATATATCGAGAATATCCTTAGATTTCAACATTTAACTGTGTGAGAGTAAAGTACACAGGATTTGTGTCCCTAACTAGAATCACCGACTCTTCCGCGAGTTTTTGCAAAATAGATGTTAAGAAAACTAACGGAACAACGGGTATACTGAACGTATCCGTTAAAAAAATTTTATAATAGCTTCAACTTGAAATATCTGGGTTCGTACCGGCCCTTTCTGAAATTATAGGATTTGAAAAAAGAATTTATATACGACTTCTCTAATAATATAGGACAAACATAGGACGTCTCTTTTCACCAGAGATGTGCACGGCTGCCGTTTTCGTACTCGTACCCAACCCGAAAATTTTTTTTCCGTCCGTACCCGATTCGACCCGAGAACGTTGTACCCGTACCCGACTTATGCCTAAAAATTTTCTTCTTTTTGTTTTCCAGCTAAAAACTTTTGTTTTTCGGCTCAAGATGTTAAATTATCATTACGTTCTCAAGTAATTCTTTTTTAAACCTTCATGTATTTTAGCTAAACTCCTGTATTTTTTCACTAAAATTTTGTAAGTTTTCCACTAGAACCTTCCAGTTTTCGAGTAAATTAAAAAAAATAGAACCCGTACTCCTAACTGCTCTACCCGTACCCAACCTTCGGGTCGGGTCGGGTACGAGTCGGGTTGCACATCGCTACTTTTCACTAAACCAACACCGTTTAGTATGGTGGAAAAACACCAGAGTACCATTGAGGCATCAAAGGCCATCTCTGTGCAGGTCATCGACTGAATATAATATGAATATGTATTCAAATCGATGAAAATGTCATCAATGATACAATGAAGTTTACTTCCCAGAAAAACATACAAAGGAAAAAAATGGTTAATATTCTATTTTATTGTGAAAATATATCATCCAGGTATCGAAGCCATAGTAATGGTTTATTGGTAGAAAATCTGTTTAACTTAGTTTCGAATTTTGACATAAATAGGTCTGCGAGTATTGGTGCAAGTGGTGGATCCATTACTACTCCATCAGATTGCACGTAATAATTACTCATAAATCTAACTGATACATCACAAACGGCTAATTCTAGCAGTCTTTTCATTTGTTATCGACTGAAGGGTATTATCAGCTATTTTCTGTGGTTTATATAACATATCTAGTGCAATCTCAATAAATTTTTTACCGACACGTTGTTCCTACTGGCAGAATTATTCCTTTAATTTCTTTGTCTTATACTCACATTTACAGACTATATAATTAGTTATCTTTTCTTTCTATGTTAATTTTCCTGATGATGATGATGATGTGTGAAAGATTTAGTTAAAGTCTTATCATTTCCTTTGTAGCAGTTTTATACTCATTATTCTCTTTAAAAAAAAGCCCTTTAGTCATACAAATACAACAGTCAGGAAATAATACGTACAATCGGTTACGTGTTCTTGGCGAAAACGAGTGGCAATGTGTGTAGAAAAGCGCATGTGCCTTTTCACGATCAAATACAACTCATTTCAGCATAACCCCACTTTCCCCCCTTTCTTGCTTTCTTGGATCAAGAAGTTTCATCAGAGCTGTAACTGAAGTATGTTTAGCAGAAGTTGTTTGACTAATTGTTGATATGATCGTAAAAGAGAGTGCACAGATGAGATAACAAAAGTTATTTATGTTGATTGATCATAGTTAATAAATTTTAACTCGTGCGCTGATACATAACTTTTTGTTTTTTATTTACCTTGCTGAATGTGCTTACTAGAGCATAGTCTGTATAAATCCATGCTGTTCTGGGAAGAAAAATACTATATTTAATAGTATCATTCACATACAATAGCTGACATTTTGTGGCCATTTAGGTAAATTAGAAACACTTGTATAATACTAAGTAGAAGAAAGATGTCTACGCATCATTCTATGGTATCAAAAGCAGTTGATATTGTTGCTAAATCTGTCATGGATTTGGATAGTAATGCATTAACACGCCTTACAAAAGCATTGAACGAGGAAGCAACAATTATTTTAAAGGAACTTGAGAACAATGGGCAAAATGTCAATTCTGAAATACTTGCTGCACGATTAGATGGAATGCTTATGCGAATCAAATATGAAATTTTAAATCAGGTTCGTACAGAAATATTGATGAAGAAGAAAAGCTCTACATCATCTAGGATCAAAGGCAAATATATCGGAGTTTACCAGAGACAGAGTTAATCTTCCGCAAAGTACTTTTTTAAGGTTTGAAACATATAATCAAAATCTTTCGCCTCAAGCTGAAACAAAGCGTATTCTTTCTTCACAGAAGTATAATAGTAAAATTTCTTAGGTGTTATTCTGCCAAACTATTTAATAACTTACGTGTTTTCGTTAACAGGGACCAGATAACAGTCCAAATGAATTTCCGATATTTAATGTATCACATAATCCATCTGCACCTTATCCAAACCCGATTAATCACCTATACGATAAACGTTACAAAGACGCTTATTCGACATTCATTAACCAATCTCAAACGCTAGAAAATGACGTCCCTCCTACTTCTTCAGGTATTCTGCCGCCGTCACCGAAAATAGTCAACTCAGCAAATGCTAATACCCCATTTAACCCGAATCTATCATTGCCCCATCAACATCAACAACCAATGCCTGTCTACAACTACAACGACAACAGACCGAATAATATATTCATGCAAAATCACTATCCATCACACCAACAGAAGCCTCAGTATTTATTGGGAACTATGCCACACAGTCATGAAAACATCAACATTGGATTTAATAATTTGAGACAAAGCTCAACTGTAGACGATATAGACTATAGACAGTTTCACCATCATAAACATCGTATTCCTTCAAACATTAACGATCGAAGTTTCGAGCTACCATACAATCATCACCGAAAGGATCGAAAAGAAAAAATTAAAGTTTATAGTGATGATGATCCCAATACAATTTTAAAAATACGTGATGGTCAAGATTATTCACGTAAAGTTTATGTATCACCTGAAGCAAACATTGGTGCGAATACTGTGTTTGATCTAATGGCTGCCGTGGATTCGAGACGAAAAACCGATACACCATCGAATGCGGATCGTGTCATAATCATTGATCGAAATAAACCTAAAGATAAAATGAGATTATTTGGAATTCAACGAGAATCACCAAAAACACCGAAGTTCTATCCAAATAATTTATCACTTCCAGCAACAATGCATAAAGTAGGAAGGAATTTTCAAATACCGTCCGGATTCTATTATCCAGTGTTGCATAAGCGTTAAATGTTTTTTATGCGACTCTAATTGAGTAAATACAGGTGGAGTGTTGGGCTTTCTCAAATACAGAGAGGCGGCATGCATAAATAATGACTTTGCTACTCATTAACTATCAGAACGGCTAGATGATATCCAAAATACTTTAATTATGTTAATCCAGGTCATGAGAAGCATTACCAGTTTATGTAATTCTGAGTAAGATTCAGATATACACGGCGTCTTTTGTCATTCAATTTCTTTCTGGTTGAATTGAAGTTTAAGTAGATAAGACGTTGAGCAAAGTTCTTTCATTGTTGTATCTATCGTGTTGAAGTTGATGAGGATTACCGGATGTGCAACTCTCACGGTGAGATAGTTTGATATTTTCGATGTTCTAGCGTTTTATCTCAGAAAAATAGTATTTTGGTCTTCTTACATTATATATGCCTCTAAATTCGAAAATTATTATAAATCTGTTAAAAGAGACGAAACACAATGAATCGCACTAGTACAGAACAGTGCTGCGTCACTGGTTAGCCGTTAGTTTGTAATCTATCGTCCATATTCTGAAGGGAACGTTGGTCATATGCCAATGTTAACAAAAGTTGAGTGTCGTTAACAGATAACTTTAATATTATTGAATGAAAACTAGCTATCAACAGAAAAAGGATTCAAGTTGGCTGCTGTTAACTTGTAAAAACGCTAAAGAAACCTTGCTAAAATCTTTTCGTAAGAATAAAGAAATAAGCGTTTGAAGGAGTTTTGAAGATAAATAGGTTAAAAGCGAGATCTAAAATTCTTTGCTGTAAGGGCAAGTTTCTTAGATGTTTCTCTTCCAGTAAGGTGGCCCCAAAGACATATCCAAGATCTAGAATTGTACGCTATATCCAAATCTGAAGTCTTTATCCGTCGGAAACGCATAGTTTTTGATATATCCACATTTTAATCGAAATTCGGAAATTTTTGGACGATAATAATATGAAATGAGAAAAATCGGACGATACTGGTGAAGTCAATCAAAAGAACATTCTATCAGATGAAGAAGCGTCGAAAAAGAACGAATCGGAGAAAAGCATATTATTGAGATGTATTTTGGGCATATTTATGTTCAGAAACAACATCATTATGATCCAAAATGAACAAAATAACGTGATTTATTTTCTCAAATCCTATGTCGAGTCAGTTCGTAAAATTTATATTTTTGCACATGAATCACTGTTGCACGAACTCAGCTTTTGACTACAGAATTATTAATACGTGTGAATACACATTTAAATTGCGGACCTACTATATATGTGCGAGATAAAAAGCAAAATACGACACTCTAATCCTTTACTCATATTGTAATGAAGAAAACACACATTCCAAATTTTGAGAAAAAGAGTTCATGCACATTTGATATTTTTCAGTTGGCTACCCCGATGATATCAATACATCAATAGACATATTTCCTACCTCTAACAAGTAAATATATCTAATATGACTCAAATAGTTCCAGTCTTGGATACTTTTGCTATGCCACTAAGTCGCCCGTACATTGTGGTAGTATAATACGGCTGAGGTAACAATTAGTCTCAATGCCGAATCATCCGGAAAAAGAACTAACTCATCACCAGAAACAAAGCGAATTTTAATCAAAATGATTCGGATTTGCTATAACCGTAGGAACAATTTGTAAGAATGACAAAAAGGTAGATTTACCTAATATGAACAAAAATCAGAACTCAGATATTTCATCACATTTGCAAAAACCTTTATCTCTCAATAGAATATTTTGTTAGTATAAATGCTATCGTCAACGTCTAGTCGGCTACTTCGAGCCAAGCGTATTCAACCTCGATAAATAAAAAGTCATTCATGTTTACGACCTTCACAAACTTCAAAAAAACTGGTAATCATAAATTTTCTCTCTAGTTTTTCTAAAACCAGTAAACAATAGTTATCTCAATAAAGATCACGTAACTTTTTGTCTCCTATAGATGTCACATGCTTACGATAAACGAATGAACAGAAGGCTCGATTCTGTGAACTAAGTCCAATACTATTTTGAATAATTTGCTAAATGTGGTTTCATTACTAGTGAGTTTTAAGATGTAAGTTGTTGTAATGCTTCGTGTTGCCTAGATGTATTTTAATATGTACACCGTTAATGGTAGCTTGTAGATTCACTGCACTAGACCGACACGTAATAAATGAGATAAATTTAAGGTTGTGACTGAAATAATGTCTGTTGATGGACTAACAATTGAGCACTTACCGTCGTATAATAATATTACTGACGAACAATTCAAACAAAAATACAAATCATTGGAAACGCTGGTGGCAAAACCAGAGCGACTCGATGTTCCAAATCATCTTCTACAAACAAGTATTTATCATGTTTGCTATACTTTATAACTTATCGTGCCTGACTCTCATTTTAGAATTATTTTTGAAAATCCATCGTAACAAATATTTTGAAGTAACACCAAAAGAAGTTCAATTTGATGGATTTGAGATTAATGAAACTCATTCAAAAGAAATTCGAATTATTAATAGATCTGCTGAAGTTATGCGCGTGGACATAATACCACCGCTAACAAAATACTTCAGTATTAACTATAAAAAACCGGTATGCATCTTTAAAGTAACAGATAAACAAAACATACATATGTACGTTTTATTTCTACTTCTAGTTAAGATTAGTACCCGGATTTTCAATTGATGTTACCGTTCATTTTAAACCGGATAGTTGGCGATATTTCAATGATGCCATTCGAATTCATACTCCAGATAAAACTAACTTACTTGTTCCATTACATGGTTACCCAATTGTTTTTTTAACCGGCCTACCAGAATATTACCAATTTCCAAATACGGCTGTCGGAAATGTGTATGCACACTTTTTTAGAGTTTTAAAACAGAAAGAACGTCTCATGTTTGTTTTTTCTGAAGCGTGACAAAGACCTTCTCATTCCAAAGTGCCGCACCTGTTGAATTTGAATATCAAATAGACATTTTAAGTCAAGATCCAGCACTATCAATCGAGCCAATGGAAGGTAATTAAAATGGTAAATAGATTTTTCTCAACAGCTTTGTTATAAAGAAACGTCTCTGTACTCTGTTTAGGTATCATCGATAGTTCAAATGTGACAAGTATAACAGTAACTTATGCACCAACTTCTTTCTGTACATCGCGTTTATGTGTTCAAATTAATGTTTCGCAATTTCATTCTCAACCATTTCTCTGCACCTTTATGGGAAAATGTTTGCCCGGCTTGACAAGGTAAGATTTCAGTATCAGCTGCTAAATAGCCGAGGATATTCTATCTAGCAACTTCATTTTCAGAGAACAAGTGAAGAAAACATTGAATATATCTGGTCAATTTTCAACAGACAACATCAATCTTGTTTCGTCTAAAAAACAGTCGAGTATAAATCAAAAATCAAAGACGACACGAGGTTTCCAATCATCAGCTATTGTTCATGAGTCAATTAAAACAGAGATAGAACGAGACGGTCTAAGAATTCCATCGCAACTAAACTCTACATGGGCCGTTTCGAAAGTATTACTACAAAAAAAAGGCAAAATCGCATTGAAGGATTTGAGAAGATTAAACGACCTAATGGATAATCAGACGACGGGAATGACAAGACAAAAAAAGGTAAGTTTATTTGAAAAAATCATATTAGTATTTACACTTCTATTTATGTTAGGAAACAATATTTTTACAAGACGTAAACAGAATTGAAGAAGAAGAACAACGAAATAAGATCCGATGGCAAAAAAAATTGGGTTTTGATCCAATATCGATAGATGATCGAAATGATATTCTAAACAGTAGAAATATATCATGGGCAGAATACAAAGTGTGTGTTTTTGTTATTTACTATATTTAGCAATTAAATTATCGATTTTCTTTTTCTATTGTAGATTCGCATTGGTAATCCAATACCAGAAGATGAATATAATCGAGATGAAACTAAATATTCTCAACAACGAACAATTCGCCCATTGGGAATGGTTAGTTTGTATATTTTACACTATCTAATAACGATTGTAATAAACACTCGTGTTTTAATTCAATGTTAGTACAGTTTTTGTCAAAAATTTATTTTAAATTATATTGATCATATTGTATCACTTTTCTTTTTATCAGAATGTCCGTACCGATGCTGAGTTTGATATTCATCAAAATAATTTATGGCTTAATCGATTAAATGTACTTGACCATTTTGCACAAGCAGCCAGAAAAGTAAGATATTTGAAAGTAAAATATTATAATGACAAAAAATGATTTATGAATATAGGTTATTCTACAACGACGTTTATTAAAACGTTTAAAATCAATTCAAGCATTAATTGAATCATGGAGAGAACAAAAATCAAAATCAAAAGGTAAAAGATAATCTTTATGCTTTATCGTGTTTAATTTCAAAAATAATCTTTAGATTATCATACAGTAGATGTACATGATTATTCAATTGATTATCTGAAATTATTACGAGGTGAAACACTTGAAAGTGATCCGATTATATTATCGGTTCAAACAAGTCCTATGGGTACATTTCATTTACCACGAACAGACGAAGATGAACCAGATAAGACAAATGTAAGTTCAATTGTATAATTAAATAATGCTTCAAATACTTATATTTCTAGAGTATAGACACAATTGGACAGGTGAATGCTCCAGTTCTGTCATTTAAAAATCGTTATGTTCTACTAAGTATGCCATTGACTGTTCCAAAACAATATATTCTCAATGGTTATAAATCTTATGATCCCTCATTGTACAGACAAGATTATGTTACGTTTAAATTAGCGAGATCCTTACGTACGGGTGCAGAAGTATGATTTATTGAAATCAGATGAAAATATAAAATACTAAGTGTAGTTAATACTTTTAGGATGAATTAATTAAATTGGATGATTCAGAAACAGTTAAAATTGATAAAAATGAGCAAAAAACTGAAAAGTTATACGATGGTACAAAAACAACTATAGCTGATCCAAAACTATCAAAAGCCTTAATTAAATCACCTATCTATCATCCGTTGACTGTTTTTGTACGCATTTAAAGCTTAAATTTTTTGGCTAATTAACCGAGTAAAAATTTTATTTTAATAGAATCCTGCGCCTGGTGTCATGGCCTATGAAACACCATTGCCCTATTCGGGTATTGATGTAGATAGTTCTGTATGTCCATTACCATTATTAGAACGTCCTGGTTATTCTACCACAAGTCGATATTTAGATAGAGAAGTAATTCATGTTTCTTTTCCTATGCCGTTTTATTGCATAAATTTGTATGTAGGACGTTATTCAAGGTGTTATGCAATGGAAAAAATTCAATAGTACAGGTTTATCAGCATTATCACAAGCACCAACAATGTCAAATGTATGGGTACCACGATGGTAAGCAGACGACAAAGTTGTTTGATCGATTCAATTTTATTTCTCTATTAATTAAAACAGGAATGATCCATTTCTTCATGATATATTACCGACAAATGTTCCACCACTTTTACGTGAAATGCCAATTGAAGATAGAGCCCAGGTTCTTGAAGAGTACGTAACAAATAATATGTAGAAATGTTGAATTTGACAAATGTTATCCATACAAAATTGTTTTAGTGAGATAAATGAATCAAAAATTATTTTAACACCAGAGATGCTACGAGCAGAATTTATTGAAAGTCATTTGGAAGGCAGTGGAAAAGCGAACGAGTAAGTTACAAGAAGATAATAAAAAAATCTTTTTATGGCATATTGTAATCGTAATTCGTTTGAATAGATTCTTATTCAGGAGAAAAAAATCTTCTAGTTCCACCCAATCGTAAGCATATATAAATAAATAATATATACATACAATATATGATCGTGTGATTTAATTCTGACATGCTGTTTGCAATGCTTTTAGTAGATATTTATTGTCTAGTAGTTTTTTTTCACTATTCAATCAAAAGAGTATCATTCACCAATATCTTGAATATCACGCTATGAGTAATTATTTGAGGGAACGTATCATTTACATCGACTTTATACCACTCGACAGTTTAAAACCTTTACGACTAGTACAACTTAAGCTCCATTTTTCAAAGTTTGAAGCAACATGTGCTCAAAGTTTGAAAAATGAGGAAAGTGGCCTTTTTTGTTTTCGATGTGTATTAAAATAACAATGCTTTTGCTTACTAAACTAATTGCTTTTTGAGTGTGTATTTGGCATGTGAATGTATTCTATACTAGGATACTAATCTTCAATTTTAGTTTATAGTCTATTAGATCAAATTGATGAATCAAATAAAAATATTGCTTTAAATATTAATTTTAAAAATATTTCGTATGAACATTTTGTTCAACAATAATCGAAACATAGACTATTGTATTTCATTAAATATTTATTTATTTTAGTATTTTTCCTTATGGTGATAAACTTCCAGAGACCAATGTTCCATTATCAGCGCATGGTCTCGAGTCTCGGTAAAATTCGATATACTAAACTTTGAATAAAATACATCATTTTCTTTTTTCTCTTTTGTTCTAGAGCACAACGTGAACAAGAATTAGGTTATTTTCAACGGAAAAAATTTGGTGAATTAACCGAAAAAGTGAATCGTCGTTTAGAAAAATATCATTCGATAGCACGTGACGATACAAATATACCGGTTGTGGAATCATAAATATCCTATGTATTAATAGTATAATAGTGATTGATAATGCTTTTTATTACTTTTTAATTCTTTGTTTTTTGTCACACCATGTCTCGAAATAAAAAAAATTCCTTGGTATTTTACCTTTATATACTACGGAAAAAATAAATTACTAGAGTAAAAAGTAATGCTTTATTTATTTACTTTTTTCGAACGTAAGTAGTAAACATCAATCGGCTTTAGAACATCACAACCAACACTCTCATTTTTATTGTTTTTGAAGAAAAGTCCTACAATCAAAGTAAAAAATTATTTCAGAACTCTAAATCTACATAATCCTAATAATATATCATAATAAATATTTCTCTACAAAATAAAATGTGTTTCAGCTCTGGAAGTTGTTTTGTTATGAGGATATAGCCCTAGAATCGTGTTGAGGGTCATCAGGAAGCTGTTTTAAGGAGATGAAAGATTAGCGTGCAAAAATCTGAAAATTAAGTCTTTAAAGGATTAGAAATTAATTAAATCAGTTTCTAGAAAAATGTTGTACTCTATTGGATTATCTATTTGCAATTTTGAATTAGTTATTACTTAGATTGCAAGAGCTTTTCAAAACAGACAAATATCGTGACACAGTGTGCATCCAAATGTAGACGTGTGATCAGTGTAAGCAGTTTCCGGAATTTTCCAGCTTCAAACGTTGCCAGAACATTCATCTATATACAACACATCTATGCAACTATTCATCTAGTTCTCACTGTAAGTTTTTCAAAATTTCCGAGTTTTTCAGATGAAAGCTATTTTTGTGAATCCAGGAACACTTTTACGAAAAAATATATTCATTTTTAGGATAATCTAGTAGAAAAATGGTCACTGTGCGGGAGATGAAAGTATACCCTATGTCAAAAGATCCAGATAAAATAGCTTGACAAAACGTTCTTTCGATCTTTTCCAATCTGATCAGATGTAACAGTTCTTTGCAAATCCCATTCCATCTTCTCTCCAGATTGAATTCATACGACTGTAAACAGATTGTAACTCGACGCATACGACGGTCGTTTCATTGTTTGGCTCATTGCTTTCTCACTTAGTTAATATGAAAATAGAATAAATAGAAACTACAGAATCTAAACACAATTATTTGACACAATTATTCCATCCAATATATTGTCAATTAATAAAAAATTTATAATAACAAAGAATATTTTATTTTTAATGAAAGATTACCGAAAACAATATTGTATTGAAAATATAAAGTTTACTTTTTATTTATATTCGCTGGAAAAAGTAAATAGTAAATATATATTTACTTTTAGAAAAGCAAACAGAGTTTTCAGTTTTCTTCTTTATTTTGGGATAAACAACTAAGTAATTATGTACTTTATCCGGCAAGGTGAATAAGAAATAAAAATGAAGTGTCAAATATTTTCAAGGCTAGGACTCACATCGAAATATTCCTTTGGCATTGAAAAATTATTCTCTTTGTACTTTCTGGATTTTTAGCCAGCAAACGTTCAGTACCGAGGTGGGGAAAAATAAACTGTGACTTTTATTTTTGACGTATCATTTTTACTATTGATGCTAGAGAGCCAGTCCAAACGCTTTTCCAAAGAGCAAATATTTTTGAACACTGCTGTCTATAAAAAGAACTACTATCCGCACCAAAAAGCAACGTCCCTGGCTATTTCGCGAATAACTTTTGATAGAAGAGTGTCAGAGACTTGTGGTTTCCAGTTTTTGAATTTAGACACTTGAAGACG